CATGAGTAGGGCTGGTTGAAGAAGGGAAGGGCTGAAAGGACGTGGGCTTAGACAGTCTCGGAAAGAGGAGTTCGGAAAACCGAAGAGGGGAGCAGAAGGAGGGAGGATGTAAGCTCCACGCGCTGTGTGCCGATGCGATCTTCAAATTCCATCCCCGCTCCCAGCGTGGCAGACTCGGGGTTGCGCATCCCATGTCTCTCCACGCGCCTGTTCGCCGCATCACGAGGCGTACGGGCAGGGCGGTCCGGATGTCTTACCTAGTTGATTTAGTAATCACCCTTGCGTTGCCGCCGCTTCGCCGCCACGCCGCTGCCTGACGACGATGCCCGCCGAAGCTGTTTAACAAAACAGCGCCCTGCCCCGCCGCGCGCGCGCGCTCTTCGGGCGCCCTCATCGGCCAGCCAAGTCTCGTCCGTCTATCGTGGCCTTAGTCGAATTAACGGCACACTCACATCAGCAATGGCGGGAAACAAATGCGTCTGTTATCAGTCGCGTGAACCCGAGCAAGAAGCTATTACATGAAGAAGAGCATCAAGAAGAGCACGAATACGCTTTGCATTTTGAATCGGGTTGCGAAAGCTCCCTTGCTGACGGAGAATGGGCAAACAATATGTACCGGATACGTCTTCCAGGCAGGGCGGGTGGTCTGTCATGCCGTGGATGCGGGTGGGCAGTTTTCGAACCAGATTTTCACCATCGAGCGGTACATGCTCACATTGTGCGCCCGGGGCTTGGTATGGTTTGGCATGCAATTGTGGACCGCGGCCCGACGATCATGATATCGCCAGAGACCCCTTCGCGCTTTGTGACCGACCATACGGCTTGGGATTGTTCCAACTTCTGTTCCGAAGACTTGGTCGTTTCTCCTGTAGTTTGTGTTCCGATATGACTTGTTCCACGAGTTTGCATGGTTGCGCTGTCGCTTTCCACCAGCCACGGGGATGGAAACCGTGTCCCAAGATCCTGTCTTCGCGTCGGGATTCAAGCGCCGCGAACATTGTCCCCGATCTTCCACCAATTGCGTTCATTGATGGCGATTCCCTCTGAGGCTCATGGTGGTTCGCCACCATGCGGTCCAACATTGACAGGATCGTGAATGCGCCTTGCAAGCAAACCGCGGGAGTCTGACTTTGGACGCACCCCATTCCAAGTCCTAAGCCCTGGCTTCTACCCTCAATATTTTCGACCACCGTTCGACCCACGCGTCGACCCACGATTCTACCATTTTTCGACCCAGCCAGTCCGACCTCCAGTGCTCGCCCCCCCATCGATTTCAGCACCCAGCTAAACGCACCGACTGCCAGCTTCCATCACCCGACACCCCAATTGCCCGTCCAGCTGTCATCTCCAGAGTCACCCGCCCAGTCTTCGACATCCACTATCCGACCTTCAATCTCATCAGTCCGACCTCCAGCCTACAGGTTCGGACCTCCTACCTTCCACCACCAGCTCAAGGCATCGATCCCCAACTTTTGACCTCACGCGTCCATTCTTCGACACACATCCGCAGACCCTCAGCCAACCAGCGCAACCTCCCGCCCCCGACTTCCGATCACTTCCAGCTCCCAGCACCCGACCCGCATTCCCCCTCTTCCAGCTGTCAACATCCAGCTTCACACGCCCAGTCTTCGATATTCACCCACCGACATTCAACATCATCAGTCTGACATTCAGCATACAGCTTCGGACCTACACCTTCCACCACCACCTCACGCACCGACCTCCAGCTTCAGCACTGGACCTTCCACTTCCACCTCCAGGTATTGACCTCTAGTTATACACGCCCACCCTCAGACTCCATTCTCTGATGATCGACCCCAGTAGTTTCTTCCCCAGCCTCCAGATTCCGACCTCCATCGACCTCCAGTTTCACATGCTTGCGTTTTGATTCCTACATACTGCATCACCAGATCGAGCTCCAGCCAGCACCCGCCGCATGGCTCCAGCTCCCGACAACATTTTAGCTTTCCGACTTCAAGCCTCGGGCTAGCAACCAAAAGTAATGATCGCCGTGTGAGTCCGACTTGCGCAGGGTTTGAGAGGCTACGGCCTCACGCGCCATGATAAAACGGGCGTCGGCATGCGCGCTTCGCCGCGTGAGCCTGCACCGGCGCCACGCTGGTTCGCTCGGTTCCGAGTCTCAGACCATTGTTGCGGCCGCGATCAACACTCCACTCTTCCCATGTCCTGAACAGGTGGCATGCCCTTGGGGCCCTCGTTTTTCCGACAGGCGTTCGCCGCCACGAAATTGATATTGACGTGCGTCCACTTGCGGTTTGGAGATTCGTGGCGGCAGGGATGTGTGCTGGGTTGACGCCCGTCTTCCTCGTCCATGTTTTTGCCAACCTTCCTGTGTTGGGCATTCGGATTGAATAGAGCAGTGCGGTCCCCCCCCCCTCGTCCGCCTCCTCCCCCCCTTTTCCTCCTCATCCCCCTTCTCCTCCTTCCTCCCTCCATTTTCCTTCTCGTTTTCTTCGTCCTCTTCCCTGCGTCGTGACCTCGCCGTCCCTTGAGGGGCCTGAGATCTGCGACATGGCCGCCACGTTCGTGGGCTTCTCGGGGACTCAGCGGAGGTATGTCCTACGCGGATCACCACGAGATTTCGCCGTCCCTTGGGGGGCTGCGATCTGCGAAATTGGCACCACTTTCGTGGGCTCCTGGCCTCGCCGTCCCGTGGGACCCTGCGATCTGCGAAACAGTCGCCACTTTCGCGGGCGTCTGGGAGGCCCAGCGGGGGTACGTCACACGCGGATCACCACGAGATTTCGCCGTCCCCTGGGGGGCTGCGATCTGGGAAAACGCAGCCAGTTTGAAGTCTCGCGGGCTCCTGGGAGGCCCAGCGGAAGGTACGTCCTACGCGGATCACCACGAGACCTCGCCGTCCCCTGGGGGGCTGCGATCTGCGAAACAGCCGCCACTTTCGTCAGCGTTGGGCGGCCCAGCGGAGGTACGTCCTACGCAAATCACCATGAGACCTCGCCGTCCCTTGGGGGGCCGCGATCTGCAAAATTGTCGCCACGTTCGTGGGCCCCTTGGAGGCCCAGCGGAGGTACGTTCTACGCAGATCACCACGAATCGTCGCCGTCCCCTAGGGGGCTGCGATCTGCGAAATGGTCGCCACGTTCGTGGGCCCCTAGGAGGCCCAGCGGAGTTACGTTCCACGCAGATCACCACGAATCCTCGCCGTCCCCTGGGGGGCTGCGGTATGCGAAGCTGTCGCCACTGTCGTGGGCTTCTGGGAGGCCCAGCGGAGGTACGTCCTACACGAATCACCATGGGACCTCGCCGTCCCTTGGGGGGGCTGCGATCTGCGAGCGTGTCGCCACTTTCGTGGGCTCCTTGGGGGCCTTGCGGAGGCGCGCCATATGCCGTCCATATCGAGCTCCATCTCGAGACCTCGCTGGCCCCTGGGGGGCTGCGATCTGCGAAGTTGTCGCCAGCTCCGCGGGTTCCTGGAAGGCCCAGCGGAGGTACGTACTACGCGGATCACCACGAGACCTCGTCCTATGGGGGGCTGCGATTTGCGAGGTTGTCGCCACGTTCGTGGGCCCCTTGGAGGCCCAGCGGAGGTACGTTCTACGCAGATCACCACGAGACCTCGCCGTCCCCTGGGTGGCTGCGATCTGCGAAATGGTCGCCACGTTCGTGGCCTTCTGGGAAAGTCAGCGGGGTGACGTCATACGCGGATTACCGCGCTACCTCGGCGTCCCCTTGGGGGCTGCGATCTGCGAACCTGTCGCCACTTTCTTTGGCTTTTTTTATGGGGGGGCAGCGGAGTGACGTCATACGCGGGTCACCGCGAGGCTTCGCCTCGCCGCCCTTGGGGTGGTGCGAGGGGCTTTTGGTATGGCCAGCGGGCTGACGCGGCGTGTGCGAGCGCCGCGCAACGAATAGCGCATGGCGTTGTCCGTTGCCCATGCTGCATCAGTTATTTGGATGCTTGTGTTTGTAATGCATGCGGGCGCATGCTACGTTTCGCGCAAGTTGGTGTACTGGCATAGCGCGGCGAGCGCGGTCCTGCAATGCGAGCACAGCGCAAGGCGCAATTACTCCTACGAATTATGTCTCCACTCGCCCCTCCTCCACATGCTTCCACGCCCCCTCGTGGTCGCTCCCCTGCCAATGGCCTGACCCTTAAGAGTGGCGCCACATATGTGAAACGTCTGACTTTGGCCCGACGTGTTTGTGGCGAAGCGTTCAAGGGCATTGCGGATCATTCAATGGGTGATTTGGGATTGAGCAAGCCGGTACATATTCGCCACATGTTTAAAAAGGGTTGGGTCCGTCCCCAGTTTATGTGTTCGTTTCTCTGCTCCCTCTCGGGATCGTGCTCGTTCTCATCCTTCTCGTGTTCCTCCTGCTGTTACTCCGCCCCATTCTCCTCCTCTGCGCCCCTATTTGTTGCTTGTCCTGCTGCCGCTTCTGGGGATGTAGTGCAAGCGGTTTTGGGCGGACGATCCGTTATGGTGATGACTGATGCTGCGTATTTGTTGGGCGTAGTCGGTATCTGCCCGGGTCCGCCGCCCGCGCCTACGGCTCGGCCCATCCCCTCGCGGGCTCCACGGTGCACGATTTGCGTTGGATTTCGTGTTGTCACCTTCGCCCGCATTGCCTTTGGTGTTGTTGGTTGGTTTGTTGTTCGGGCTGATTCGGCGCGTAAGGGCTTGCGTTGTGACGGCAAACTGTACGCGTAAGGGCAGAGTCGTTGCAGTAGTAGGAGGGGGCGGGAGATGGTGGAGGAGGAGCAGGCGGAGGAGGAGGGGTGGGGAAGTGGGAGGCGGAAGAGGAGGGACAAGGGACACGGAGAGAATGTGGATAAGGCTGTGAAAGGAAACGAAGAGGGGATGTGGATGAGGCATGTGGGCCAGGATGAAGAAGAGGAGGGGACGGAGAGGGTGGAGGAGCAGTGAACAAAGGCCAGATCTGAACCTATAAGCCTTAGCTGCATCCGCGGAGGGGCGCGGTCGGAGCTTCAGTGCCCCCTGAGTCGCCCGCCGACCATGCCGAATTCGGAGAAGTTGGCCAAGAAGGCCATGTATTTCGACAAGCTTGTCGACCTTTGCGTGAACTCCAAAGGAGGCGCCGTACTGCGGCAGAGAGGCAGGATGAAACGAGGGCCAGGGAGTAGTAGGAGGAGGAAGAGTGAGGGGAGGAGGAGGAGGAGGAGGAGGAGGAAGAGGAGGAGGAGGAGGAGCACGAGGAGGAGGATGATGAAGAGGAAGGGGAGTAGAAGTGTAGGACGAGGAGAACGACGAAGAGGAGCAGGAGCATGAGTCGGAGTCGTAGCCAGCGGCGCTGCGGCGGCGATGGAGGAGGAGTCGGCGGCGGCGGATGAATGATGCTTTCTGGTCCTGCTAGTGCGCTGGCCGCGGGAGCACTCGATCGGCCCCTTCTGCCCTCTCCTCTGTGTGTTCTGTTTGGCTGTCCGCTGGCGGGGGGAGGGCAGGACGAGGAAACGGGGGGGAGATGGAGAGGTGGAGAGGTGGAGGGAAGGGAAGGCGAATGACGCGGCAAGGCGCGCTCCTCGTCGGCGTGGACCACGTGCGCTCGAAGCAGATGCAGGAAATCCGCATCGCGCTGCGCAGCAGAGCTGTGGCGCCCGGCCCACGCCACGCGCGCGCCTCTCTCCTGAGGTCGTGAAAGGGGTGCGGTGTATCGGGGTGAGGCCCCAGTGTTGAAAATGACGAGTTCTCTACCACAGCCGCATGTACGTTGCATCCCGATTTAAGCAATGTTGGCTTTGCGTCGACCGCTTCCAACATCGCCACAATGTTTGATTTCAAACCTATACTTTCAAGTATAACCCCACCAGGCATGTGCCCTCATCAGGCATGTGGAGAACAACGCGCAGTGGAATAAAGGCTGGGCAGCCGTCATACCTCAAGAGAGTGGGATGGAGGAAGCATCAGGTGAGGAGATGAGGACGGGAGGGGGAGTAGGGATGGCAGAGGAGGGAGGATGACGGTGACGGGAGCTGTTTAGCTGGATAAGCTAGAGTGGGCAAAGCAGGAGCGAGTGCATCCGCTGCCATTTCTTGTTCAGTTGCCAGCATCAGGGTATGATTAGTCAGATTGACTACAACATGAGCGCGTGAATTGTACGTATCTCTCAGAATACCGTCCGCACATCGCGAGTCTCATGTATGAGGCGCTTTTTCGAATTGATAGTGGAGCTAACTACCCTCTCTTGTGGCTGGCCTTGTTGCTAACAGTTCTCCGCGGCATACCTTGGTGGACCAGTACGTATTACCATGCGCCGACAATGTTTCGGGGACCGGATCTACGCAATTGGCACGTGCAGCCCAACAGGGAGCCTGCGCCGACTGTTGCGCCTATTCTGCCACTACCACCAATTGCGCTCCATAGTTTGGCATATATGTATACACGCGTATGGATACCCTGGCTCTACGTTACCATGCTCCGCAATACCACTACGATCCGTTTGACATCCTGCGGTCGTATGCCGCTTGGTCGTTCGATCACTACGCATCGCATGGGGACGTGCAGCCACAGTTCATGCGACGCTCAGCACCCGAGCACGATGCCATGAACACCGATCACGCTCAATTGGCATCCTCATTTACCCACTACCTCACACTATCCGATTCAAAATCACATGGGTATGCGGTTGGCGGTGGGCTATGTGCAACGTTGCGCGGACGATGCGACTTTGACATGAGCACAGCATTGGGATCATGCTGGAGCGGTACTTTTCATGACATGCGCCCATGAGGTACACGCGTGGCTTATTGTCACGGGCGCCCGTTTTACTCCACAACAACAGGCGGCCGCCCTACAGAGAGGCCTGGACGGCCTGGCCCGCATCATCGCATGTCGAATCTGTCGAACTACGGAAGAGCGCGTTCTGTGGTCGCTTGGAACAGGGGGGGTTGTAACCGGTTCCCTCCCCCTGCATGGACGGGGGGATGGTTCGAACCACCCCCCCCCATTCCCGTGACGGAGGGGGGGGAGGGTTCAAACCCTTTTCCCCCCCCTTTCCCCTGCTGTTCCTCTCTCCGTTTCCTCGGGGCAGCGCCCGCGTCGGCGGCGGCTGGCGGCGGCGGCGGGGGCGACGACTTCCTTTCTGGGCTGGCGCCGGCGCCTGCGGCGGCGGGCGGCGGCGGGCGGCGGCGGCGGGAAGCTTCGACGAGGACGACGGCGACGACGATGACGACGACGACGACGCTCCGCCACCGTGCCTTGGTTTTGGGTCAGAGTCCTAATGGACGCCTCCTGGGGTCTCGTCGGAGGGCTCTCGGGGACCTCTGAAGGGCATTTGTGAAGCCTCCTGGGTGCCTCTTGGGCATCTCTTGGGGCCTCTCTGAGGTGGTCGTGGTGGCGGTTGGCTGTGGTGGTGATGGTTATGGTTGTGGCGGTGGTGGTGGTGGCGGCGGTGGTGGAGGTGTGGTGGTTGGTGGTGGTGGCGGTGGTTGTTGTTGTGGTGGTTGCGGTGGCAGGTTGTGGTGGTGGTGGTGGCGGTGGTGATGGTGGTGCGGTGGTTTCTGGTGGTGGTGATGGTAGTTGCGGCGGTGGTGGTGGGTTAAGGTGGTGGTGATGGTGGCGGTGGTGGTGTGGTGGTTTGTCGTGGTGGTCGTGGTCGTGGTTGTGGTGGTGGTGTTGGGTTGTGGTGGTGGTGGTGGCGCTGGTGGTGGTGGTGGTGGTGGCGGTGGCGGTGGTGGTGGTTGTGGTGGTGGTGGTGGTTGTGGTGGTGGGTGGTGCTGGTGGTGGTGGTCGTGGTGGTGGTGCCGTGGTGTTTTGTGGTGGTGGTGGTCGCTTGTGGTTGTTGTGGTGACGGTGTGTGTGGTTGTGGTGGTAGTTTTGGTGATGTGATCTGTTTTGGTAGTAGTGGTTATGGTGGTGGTTGGTGGTGATGGTGGTTTGGTGGTGGTGTGGTGGTTGTTTGTGGTCGTGGTGGTGGTGGGTTGTTGTGGTGGTGGTGTTGGTGGCGGTGGTGGTGGTTGTGGTGTGGTGGTTTGTGGTGTTGGTGGCGGTGGTGATGGTGACGGTGTTTTGTGGAGGTGGTCCTGGTGGTGGTGGTGGCGGTGGCGGTGGTGGTGGCGTGGTGGTTTGTAGTGGTAGTGGTATGGTGGGTTGTGGTTGTGGTGGTTGTGGCGGTGGTGGCGTGATGGTGTGGTAGATTGTGGTGGTGGTGGTGGTGGGTTGTTGTGGTAGTGGTAGTGATGAGGTGTTGTTGTGGTGGTGGTGGTAGCTGTCGTGTTGGTGGCTGTGTTGTGGTTTGGTGGCGGTGGTGGTGGGTTGAGGTGTTGGTGGTGGTGGTATTGGTGGTGGCGGTGGTGGTGGTGGCGTGGTGGTTTGTGGTGGTGGTGCTGCTGCTTTTCGCGGTGCTGGTGGTGGTGGTGGGTGGTGGGTGGTGTGTGGTGGTGGTGGTGGTAGTGGTGGTGGTTGCGATGGTGGTGTGGTGGTTTGTGGTGGTGGTGGTGGTGGGTTGTGGTGTTGGTTGTGGTGGTGGTGGCGGCGGTGGTGATGGTACTGGTAATTGTGTGGTGGTTTCGTAATCGTCGCTGGGTCCCCGCTGTGATCGTCGCTGCGTCCCCGCCGTCGGCGCTGCTGGCCGCCGCCAGCGCCGGCGTCCGCTGGCGCTGGCGCCGCCGCCGGCGCTGGCGCCGGAAGGAAGAGGGTTTCGGGAGGGGGGGGATTCGGGGGGGAGGTGAGGCCCCCCGGTTCTGATCGACGGCGCCGAATGTGGGGGGGCCACCCCCCAGTTCGAAACGCGCCGCCGAATGTTCTCAAGGCGAGCGCCTGTGACGCGCGCTCTCTCCGAACTACGAATGTCCATTTCACGGTGTGAGGACCGATCCCGTTGAGCAGTGCATGTGCGGTTTTAGCGAGACGCTTCAACACCTTGAAGTCGCGCGGTGGTTAGACGCGAGTGCCGACTTCATCGGCGTCAATGTACCTTCACGGAGTCGGATCGAGATGGCCAGGTCAGGCTTGACGGCCAACCAGTTGGTTTCGACATATTTTGTACCGATCCCAATATGTACAACTCGTTGGAACTTCGCAGATGTTGCAGCCGCTGAACCAACCGATGCCCGCGACACTGGCGGAGTACGATTATTTATCAGAACGAATGCGGCCGTTCGAGCATCAAGCGGATAGATCCCTTCGTAACATCGGAGGGGTGTTTGGTCGGGGGTGAGGCAACGCGTCACATTGCGCCAAGTTTCAAACAAGACGGAATGCCACAGGCAACGGGCCTTAACACTTGGCCAGGCAGACCCACAGAGAGTACAGCTCTCTTCGCCGGCCAGGCAACTCGCACCCAGGCAGCTGGCAGTAACTAGTGGATCCGGACTCCAAGCGCCACCGCGACACAGCCAGCGACGATTCCCTGGGGCCCAGGTGGCCCAGCAGAGCAGCTCTCACCCCTCATTTTCGTCGCAGACACCGACGTGGAATCGCTGGACGGCGTGGAGGCGATGTACCAGCCATGCATTCCTGCACAGTTCATATACGAACTACAGGTGTTTGTTGCATGTTTTCTGCGACGCGCCACGCGAAAAGGAGGTGGGGGATGCGCGCGAAGAAACGGGCGCGACGCGTGCGCAGGCGTATACGACGCATGTTTCATGGGAAGGTGCGTGGCAATGGCAACGGTGGGAGGCGGAGGAGACTGCACGGACGCGGCCATGCCATTCTCATAGCAGTCTTCAGTAATGACGAGTACGACGAAACATTTGTATGATGAGAGGGAGCAAGTCGTGCTCGTCGAAGTGCGGGTGAAGGGAAATAATTACCAATCTTGCGCGCAAAGACGGTTGCCGCATGCTGCGCAACAGTTGCGGTTCCCCAGAACCTTCCGTTTGTCAGTGCAGCAAGGGGGAAGGTATGGGAGGCGGGGGCACGCCTGCCTCTTTTGGCTCAGACGTCATAGAGCACGTTTGTTACAACCGTCTCGACACCGACCATGAGCTGACGCATCTCACGATGTCCCTCACACACATGGACTTATTTGGTGATGGCGACCGCGCTATTATTCCATAGGCCATAGGGCCGTCTCGTTCGAGCAGTGGGCAGGCTTCGAGGGCCAGCCCTGTGAGTTCGGTACCGAACTGGAGCGCGGCGACGAGGCCGAGGACGGCGACCGCGTCGAGTCCACTTGCGAGAGCGACTCTTCGAACGCTTGCCGCCGCAACCGTCATTTCAACCGCCGACCATGCCTGCCACGCAGGAGGGCATCGATGAACTGCTCGGCGTCTGACTTGAGCGTCGTGATGCGATCGTCCGGTGATTCGAGGACGTTTTGAACCGTCTGGGGGCCCCCTGCGACAACATTCGGGGAAGTCCAAAGGCACGTGGCAAGCCCCGGGAGATTTAGGCCAAGGGGTTCTGAACCCATCAAGGACCCCTCAGGAGTGAGGACTGAGCTTTAGAAGGGGTAGTGAGAGGACCTGAGGATACGTCCACTCCGCGCTCAGCGGCACGGTGGCGGATAATTATAGTTGCGGAGTTCTGTTTTTAAGAGATGCGGGCAGTCCGAAATTATGTTTTTCGCGATGCGGAATGTCAGGGGCCGCGTTTCTGGTGATCGTGATGCAGCGCGTTTTTTTGCCATCGTAGATCACGTCGCCTTTTTCAGCATTGGCACCACACCCCTTTTACACCACAATCCTCTAGTATCTGCGACTCCGCTAGATGCCCCAGTGATGTTGACGCTGAGGGCCACTGAGAGCCCCTCTGATTCGGCGGCGTCAACCGGCCACCTCACCGATCGGTACATATGCCTCCGTGGTTTGGCCAGGGAGGCGTATACACGGTGCTTGGGCCCAGCATCGGCCTGGCCAGGATCGGTGAGGTGGCCAGTTGACGTCACACGATGAGAGGGCCCCGTTGGCGGCCGCAAGTGCCCCCCCGCACCGAGAGCCAACCGGGGCCTTCGCGGAGGCCATCTTGTACCATCTTGCAGGTTGCCTGGGGCCACGCCAGAGCCATCTCGGACCAGTTGGCGCGGCGGCCTTCCAGACCCTGTGGTCCATTTCGAAGCCTTTCGGGGCCCAGGAGGTGTTGTCGGGCGTTTGAGCGGACCTGACCTTCCTCGCAAGTCTCTTCCTCAAGTGGGACCCTTTTTGAGAGGACACAGAGGGACAGGCAGCCAGTCATCTCACGCGCCTTCTCACGGCCCGCAAGCGAGGGTCGGCGCAAGTCACGCCCATGATTGTCTTGGCTTGTGCGGGGGGATCTCTTCGTCTCTTTCTTCTTCTCCGTGTCTGTGCAGCGAGCTCGTCGCCGAGAGGTGCTCATGGGCAAAAACACCATGATCCGAAAGGCTCGACTGAGTCTTTTGCTGCGGGGCGGGAGCAGCAGCAGTAGCAGCAGCAGCAGCCAAAAGGGCACGCCTCGTCGAGCCTGACCGTGCTCAACCCCGTGAGTCCAGGCCTCCCAAATGAAACGGGGTCCGAGCAGGTGGTGTCGGAGAATCGCGCAGCATCGGCGATCCCGCGGCTCGATGTGGAGCCCCCCCCGCCCCCCACCCCCACCCCTCCACCCTCTAACTCCTAGCGCGTCGGTTCATCGTGCGGGCGGTCGGGCGCGGGGCGGCGTCGGGCAGCAGCGATTGCAATCGGGCAGCGGCGGGGCAGCAGAGAGAGAGAGAGAGACAGAGAAAACAACAAGAGAGAGAGAGAGAGAAAGAGAAAGGAAGAGGGAGGCAGAGATAGACAGAGAGAAGAGAGAGAGAAAGAGATAGACATGCAGTCACGACGCGGAACTAAGGACCACCTGCAATAGAGGTTCTCTTTCTTGCGTCGGTCCTTAGATTTTAGGTTGGAGAAGGCATTCATGGCCGAGGCTCGCCGCGCCCCTAATCGAATGTCGATTCGTTCTTCAGTCGGCGTTGTCATGATAGCGCGGCGACTGGAACGACAGAGAGAGGGAGGGCGAGATAGGCATGTGTGCATGTATGTGCTATGGATGGATGCTTGTGCGTCTATGTATTCATATACATATGCGGTTTTAAATGCAGGCGCAAGAAGAAGAGAGGGCGGGAGAGGGAGAGGCAGGGAACGAGCAGGATTGATGATCATGTTTGGCTGCATGCTGCTCTCTTGGACCGCCGTGTCCCACAGATCGTGCTCCTGCATGAGGATGAGGGGCGGATGATGGATGAGGGACGAGGCGGGATGAGGAGGAGGAGGGGGAGAGGAAGAGGGGGATGATGGAGGGGGAGGAGCAGCAGCAGCAGGAGGAGGGCGGAGGAAGAGGGAGGAAGAAGATGGTTGAGATGACGAGGAGGATGAGGAGGAGGAGGAAGAGGGTTGACGTGGAGATGAATACCGCACTGCGCAGCACTGCACCACGGTGGGTAACATGCCCGAATCAGGGATGTCAGCGTTCGCCCCGAGGGGCTGGCGTGAACATGAACTCCCAGAGGCCCTCGCGATTTCTTGTGCCAGCGCTGGGCACCCCCTTGTGGCGCCTCCCGTTCCTCCCCTGGCGCTGTTCGCGCGCTTGGGGAGGGTGTCCCAGCGCCGACCCAAAAGACCCGCTCGGACCTCTGAAAGTGTATATTGATCGTGCCACTTGGAAGAGGAGGGAGGTGGAGGAGGATGAGGATGAGGAGGAGGACCAGTGTGAACCCACGACTCCTCAACGATGCTGCAACAAACCCTCCCTCCAAGTTCCCTCGTCAGAGGCTTCTAGACCAGATTCATTTCCACTGCGGGAAGAGCCCCGTTGGAAGACAACCGTCTGAAAATCTTCAACCGTGCAACGCATCATTATTGTGATTCCAACGCCGTGAATCAACGATATTGCTGCGCCTGACGATCCTGAATCGTCCCACAACGCGATTTCTGGGACATCGACACCGAACATGAACGTGAGTGTGGCGCCAGGGCAATGTTAAATCGTTTCAGGGCGACAATTGCTGGCACGCCAGTCGTAAGAATCCTTACGCCGATTTCGAACTGTTAGGGCGAATGCGCGGCGCTTAGGCGAGAGCTTCATGTGAAAAGGAGCCGCTCCCCATCCGTGGCACCCCTGCACACTTTTACGACGAAGATGCGCGACCCCAGAGCGAAATGCGCAGTTTGAAGATCCTCCGCCCTCCACCTGTGAACTTGCTGCAACATGCTACGGCGATTGTGCGCCTCGCCAACGCGGGAGCCACAGTTTGAAAACCACCCGCCCTCCACCCTTGAAACAGTGCACACTTCGAACACGCATGTGCACGGCGCCAAGGCGAGAGCCATATTTAGAAAACCGCCCGCTTTCCATCCGTGAGATTCTTACGAGCTTTCAAGACGAATGTGCGCGGCGCCTTGGCGAGAGCCACATTTTGAAAACCATCAGCCGTCCATTAGTGAACGTGTTGCAACTTTCAAGTTCCAGGGTCCTAACGGGTGAGAAAGTCTCATGGGACACGCTCGGCCCACCCTGCCAACCCGTCTCGGTTGCGACAGGGAGGAGCTATGTGCACACATATTTTTTGCATACGTATTACAAAAACAGAAGGAAGGGCAACCAAGAGGAGGGAGGAGGAGGAGTGATGCGGTCGGTTGAGAAAGAGGGAGATTGGAGGAAGGAGCGAAGAGGATGAGTTGGAGGAATGAGGGAGGAGCGAGGAGGAGCGAAGAGGAGGGTTGAAATTAGAAAGAAGATGGAACAGTGAGGGTGGAAGGGAACAACCAGGAGACTGAGCAACAGGGGGAGCGGAAAACAGAGCACATCACATCAAAGCCAAGCAATACAGCGCAACGGGACTGCAAAGCAAACAATAACGTTTGTCTGACCGTTCAACGCAACAACATATGATAGAGGAGGAGCAAGACGAGAAGGATTCGGACAGAGTCAGGGGAGGCAGCCTCATCAGGAGGGATGAGGTCGAGGAGCGAAACGAGCAGGGTGAGAAGGACGATGCAGGAGAACGGATGGGAGCAGGAGCAGATGTAGGGAGGAGAATACGCAGGCGCCACCCCAGAATTTGTTGCGATGGTCGGTGATCTTGCGGCCTCTCCCCTACGTGTGCCCTTCGAAGCCAAGGAGTCCACACGGGTCAAGCTGATCAGCACGTTTTTGCATGTTGCAAGGGTTTCCGCGGTGTGCATCGTTGGCCGGAGTTGTCATGGGGTTTACATTCATGGGCGCCACCACCATCATCAGACGGCATACTGTCTTGACGCTCGCATGTCTGTTGGTTTGGCCACGTCGCCTGTTGGCCGAGCGACAGTATCACATAAAATCACGCGCTGTTGAGCAGATCGTTACATAACGTGGAAGCGGCACGTTGAGTGGCTCAGAATGTGAAGTGGCAGCACGTGTTCAGAGGCTCGGGCAGGCTGGCAAGGGTTGCTTGTTAATCGAATTCGAGCAGGTGTTTGTTCCGGTGACCGGGCCTTAGGATGCGGTTAGGACCCAATGGAAACGTTGGGAATCACAGTGAGCAGCAGTTAGCGCGATTATAGAGGCCTCTGGCCTGTGCCGCCGATCGGGGACTCCCGGGGACGCTCTGTGCGAATTCGTCGTCCTGCTTACTTGCTTGTGAGCTTTACCTCGAGGAGGCAGGAGGGAGGATGAGGAGGGAGGAGGAGGAGGAGGTGGAGGAGGAGGAGGAGGAAGAAGAAGACGAGGAGGAGAACGAGGGGGAAGAGGAGGAGGAGGAGGAGGAGGAGAAGGGGAAGGAGGGTGTTGGCAGTCGCCTCAGGCAGTAAGACATGTTGAAACGAATGTTTGCATGGTGTCCGTCTGTCGAGTTTGATGGCGGTCTAGCTCCCTGACAAGTTGGCTCCTTCTGTTGTTGCGAGCCCCCGGCCCCAGCCCGGGTCCCAGCTCAAGCCCCAGCCCCAGCCCCTGCCTTGGCCCCTGGCACCCGGTCCTGGCCCCCGCCCCAGCCTTGGCCTCGGCCCCGGGCCCGGCTCTGGCCCGGGCTCCAGCCCCGCTCTTCCCATCCCCGACCTCGTTCCCGGCCCCAGCCCTGTGCCGTCCCCAGCCCCAGAAAGCGCAGCACGGGGGCACCCCCTTTGCAGAGCGGAGCTCAAGCAGGGCTGAAACTCACGCTCTTTGAAACTTACGCCAGATCAGCGGACTCAGGTAGTTTTGGAATCTCGCCTCTAGGCTAAGCCTGGTTGCGTTGTTTGGGGTATGCACGAGGTCCGCCTCACGTACTGCAGGTAACAACACACCATTACCATCTTGACCATCATCACAAGCACCACCACCACCGCTACCATCAGTTTCGTCAACACGTCCGTCAGTTTGGCATTGCAAGTCTCCATCCGTGCCTACTTTCCTCGAGCTGATACTGATTTTGAGGAAGCTTCCACGGCGCGAGCGTGTGTTACGGTTTCAGCAGCACGCTGTTTTGCCGAGAAGACTTCGTTTCACTCATCGTCTCTGTCACCGCTATGATGACCATGTGCCTTCCGTGCGCTGAGGGAAACGATCAGCAGGACATGAACATGTTTCGCAGCACGGTGGACAGCGATTCTTGTTTCAAGGCCGCGGAGGATGACACGAGCTCTCAGGTCTCGACGGAGCTGGGGAACGATGCTACGGGGACCTCCCAGCGCCTGCATGACGGAGCAGACGACCTCGCATGGCCAGCGTATTGTCAAAATTTGATCATATTTGATTGGGATGATACTCTTTTTCCCACCACTTGGTTGCATCAGCAGGGCCTCCTCAAGGAGGATGCTGAGGTCAGCGAAGAGCAAGGTGTGCAGCTGCAGGCCTTGGCCAGCCTGGTCGCCACGACGCTGGATGCGGCAAAGAGGCGCAGTGCCGTGTCCATCGTGACAAATGCTGAGCATGGATGGGTTGAGCTTAGTTGCCGAACGTTCATGCCCACGCTACAGGCTCATCTTCTGGACATAAACATTGTTTCCGCGCGCACGCGTCACGAACAGCATGGACTTGTTGCACCCACCACCTGGAAATGCCTTGCTTTTGAGGAGGTGGTTGGTGAATTTTTCAGTGTCCCGGATGGCGCAGGCGTGGCTGCGCGACGCAACATCATCTCGATCGGCGATTCCGAGCACGAGATGGATGCACTCAAGTGGGTCGCCAACGGAACGGAATGTTACGCGAAGTCCGTGAAATTTGTACAGAAACCGTGCGTAGAGCAGCTCATGGAGCAGCACGAGCTGGTCGCCCGATCTGTCGACGATGTCGTCGACCACGGTGGCAACCTCGACTGTGAAGTTGGCCTAGAGGACATCTGAGTTCACACAGCTGCACCAACAGCGCGCCGGCGCACTCCCGGCGACTAGGCCTAGGACGGACTGATAGAACCCCACTTTCACTGGCTCCCCACTTTTGTTTCACTGGCTCCTTGCCAGCTGTCAGCTTCGCGTCTCGCGCATGAGAGGCGAGATAAGGAGATAAGCACCTGGCAAAGATACGATGTTCAACGATGCGCCCCTATCAGCCCCCGATCGGACGCGACAGGCGCTGCCGGAAGCGAGGGCCCCGTAATTCCAAGCCGCCCAAGTTGGGCTGGAGCAGATGGGGTGAGAGGATCGCCTACGATCGAGAGCGCGACTTTCTCCGCCCCGTCGTTGCCTCCGCATCGGCGACGCGGGGCTGTCCTCCGACCCTATCTGCTCCAGCCCCCGAGGAGGTCTTCCGAGGTTTCCGGAGACCCATGTGGGGCCCTTTAGGCCCAGAAGGGGCAAACAACGTCAAGAAACATTGATCCTCGAATCTCAGCCCCACGAAGTCTCATGTACAGGTTTAGCCTGAGAGGGGTTGGCTGGAAGAGGGGGGCAGGGTTGGCCGATGGGTTGACGGTTGACAGATCGGTCGGCCGATGGGTGGCCAAGTAGTCAGGGACAGTTTTTCCATGGCCATTTCACCAGAATAGCGTTTCGCTAGAGAGTTCGAACGGGAGTCAAACATTCTTTTTACCAGAATCTTCTCAGGGAGGACCCGGCGCAGGCGTCTCACCAGCCTGGCGGCGCGGCCCAGGATATGCCTGCAGCGGCCACTATAATGTTCTGGCTCGTCTTGGTCCAGAAATGCAATTTTCTACCGCGTTCTGGCTCGAGTGTGGTGGCCCAGAATCTGCCGACAGCGCTCAGTACGGTGTTTGGGTGCGGTTTGGTCCAGATATGCGACTCACTATGGTGTTCTGGCGTTCATTGTAGCCGGTCCGGAATCTGTCAGCAGCGCTCTCTACGGCGTTCCGATGTGGTCCAGGAGTGCGACTCACTGTGGTGTTCTGGCGCTCATTGTGGCATCTTCGTATGTGCACATGTTGGTCCCGGGCTGGAACCACTTGTTTTCACGTGTCCAGGCCACCCAGGGGCGGTATCTAACATGGTGGCCCGAGTTGGAACCACGTGTTTTTCCTTAGTATCGTTTGGCTATAGAAAGGTTTGTCAGGGGTCTAAGACTCCGTTCACTCTCACCAGAATCTCCACAGGGTGAGCCTGCGGAAGGCGTCTCACCAGCCTGGCGGCGTGGCCCAGAATCTGTCGGCAGCGCTCACTATGGCTTTCTGGCTCGACTTGATACAGATATGCAACTCACTACAGTCGAGCATCTGATGAAGAAACCTCCTCCCGAAAAGCTGGGCCCGTGTTTCTTGACGAGCTTGCTCAAAAGCTGTCCCATTTTCTTGCGCACTTTCTCCCCTCCAGCGTTCAAAGGCATTTCTGGGAAGTGATAAGTTGCTTGATCAGCTTATCGGCTGTATTGTGTTTTGGCTGGGTTTCATTTGCAATGCCTGTTTCATGGGACTCGACACGCATGTGGGCGACGCAGAACAGTTGGTCGTCTGCGCCGACATTGGCGCGTAAGCTGCCCGCGTATGGTCGCGCGTAAGCGCCCTCGTCTTCACTGGGGCGTGCCGCGTTGGCGGCCCGCGTAAGCCGCCGCGTAAGGTCGCTGTGGCATCTCGCGTAAGGCCCGTCTTTGATCGTCGCTGATGTGTTTTACGTATGGTATTCTACACGGTTTCTCCTTGAACACGAAAATTCTTTACGCTTCGCGTATCCCCACCAGCCCATCTCACAGCAGCAACTCTCGCGAAGCATGCCGACAGTCGTGTTTTTCAGGCGTGTGTCCGCTTGGCCCCGCATATCTCCCCTGTTCCTCCTTCCTCCCGCCTCCTTGTACATCCTCCTTGTGGGGGGAGCGGGAGAAGGACGAGGCGGAGGAGGAGGGAGAGAAAGCGCTCCTCGTGGTTTGAGTCGTTTGGGGTTTCTCGTCCTGGTGTGAGTCGTTCGGGCCCTTCTTCCTGGTGTGAGTCGTTCGGGCTCTTCGTGGTGTGAGTCGTTCGGGCTCTTCGTCCTGGTGTGAGTCGTTCGGGCTTCTCGTGGTGTGAGTTGTTCGGGCCCCTCGTCCTGGTGTGAGTCGTTCGGGCCCCTCCTCCTGGTGTGACTCGTTCGGGCTCCTCGTGGTGTGAGTCGTTCGGGGCCCTCGTCGTGGTGTGAGTCGTTCGGGCTCCTCGTGGTGTGAGTCGTTCGGGCGCCTCGTCCTGGTGTGAGTCGTTCGGGCCCCTCCTTGTGGTGTGAGTCGTTCGGGCTCTTCGTGGTGTGAGTCGTTCGGGCCCCTCGTCCTGGTGTGAGTCGTTCGGGCTCCTCGTGGGGCCTCTTGGGGGCCTCTTGGAGCCTCTTGGGGCCTCTTGGGGGCCTCTTGGGGGCCTCTTGGGGGCCTCTTGGGGGCCTCTTGGGGCCTCTTGGGGCCTCTTGGGCCTCTTGGGGGCCTCTTGGGGGCCTCTTGGGGGCTCTTGGGGCCTCTTGGAGGCCTCCTGGGAGCCTCCTGGGGGCCTCTTGGGGCCATCTTGGGGCCTCTTGCGACCTCCTCAGAAGCGCAAATGAGAGCTGCCCCCCGAGAAGGACAAAATGAGCCCAAAACCTTCGTAAAATCAATGATTTTGCTAGGAAGGACGATGAGCGCTGCCCCCTCAGAAGCCCAAAATGGGCCCAACACCTTAGTAAAATCAATGTTTTTGGCTTCAAAGACGAGTTGAGGGGCCAAACTCCCCCCCCCCCCCTCGGGACCAGAATCCTAGTGAGGGTCGTCGTTGTTTGGCCCTCCCAGGAGTCGAAAAAGACCCCCCTGCCACCACCCCGGACTCCCTGTCCAGGTCCAGGGGGAGGGGGTAGGGAGAGGGGTAAACCCCTCCCCGAAGGGGAAGAAGGGGGGTTGAGGACAGAGAGAGCTCTCTAAACCACTCACGCCCAAAGGGCTGGTGGGATTACGTATGCTATGTATGTTCATATGTATTGTCATGCTCTTGCTGTCGATGTGATGTTTTACGTATGCCCCTATCGATTGCCCCTCTATTATGACTCGAATCCTATATGTTACGTTGCGCGTTTCTAAAATATGTGATTTTCCTGGGGCTCGAAACCCGTGTGCGATGCATATGCTCATATATGTTGTCCTTCTCTTGTTGCTCGGATCCTACGTGGTGTATGTGTGTTTCTATATATATATATATATATATGCCGGCGGAAGAGGATCGGGGACGTCAGGAGTGTGCCTGCGCCCTCCATGGGGGCTCCGAGGCTCACTTTCCCTGTGTTTTTACAGGGCTTCGGCGTTCCAGGGCCTCCGAGGCGCCAGCGGCGACCCCAGACCTCTTGTTAACCTTCGGACGGAGGCCCAAAACCAGCCCCAGAGCGCTCCAAGACGGCCCACGACGCCTCCTACACCGCACCAAGACGGCCCCAGAGAGCCCCAAACAGCCCCCACGACGGCCCAAGAGGGCCCCAAGACGGCACAAGAGGCACCGAAAACGGTCCAAAGGAGTTCCGACACGGACCCCGAGGGGTGACAAAAAAAACTCACAGAGGCCCTCAACATGCCCAGGCCGCCCAAGAGGCCAAAAAAGGCCCCGAGATAGATCAACACATACCCCAAGAGGCTTGAACAAATGCGTCTCACCCTGCTTCTCGTCCGCCTCATAACCTTCCTGCTCCTCTTTTTTTCTGGTTGTCGAGCTCTCTCCCGGTCTCAGGAAATAGAAGTATATTCCCGGAGCTGCCAGGAACAGCATTCCTCGATAACTGTTTTTTGTTCTTCGCCGCCCTGCTCCATCGTCAGTCCCTGATCCTCCGCCTGCTGCGGCTGCTCTTCATGCTACTCCCGCACCTCCCCCCTCCCCATCCTCCCGCTCCCCTTCTCCTCCTTCTCACCCCCCTGCTTGTGGAGCTCTCTCCCGGTCTCTCGAAATATGTTCCCGGAACGCTTAATTTCTTTGCTTGCGTTCGAGTGTTTCTTTTGTTCTTCGCCACCCTGCCCCTTCGTCTTTCTTCCCATGTCCTCCTCCTGCTGCGGCTGCTCTTCATGCTACTCCTGAACCTCCCCCTGTCCTTCTTCTACCTCCTCCTGCTCCCCCTGAACCTCCCTTCCTCCCGCTCCCCTTCTTCTCCTCCTCACCCACCTTCCCTTCCGCCTACTCCTTATGTCCTGCTCGTCCTGCTCCTCCTCCTCTTCCTGCTGCTCACCTTGTCCTGCGCGTCTGTCCTCCTCGTCTTTCTCATCCTCCTGCTCCTCCCCTTCCTCTTCCTCCACCTCCTCTCCTCCTCCTCCTCCTCCTCCTCCTCCTCCTTCTCGAGATTCCTCCTCCTGTTCTAGCCCTCCTCCTCGTTCCTGTTCTCCTCCTGCTCCTTCTCGGGCCCCTCCTCCTGCTGTCACGAAGTATGTTCTCGGGAAGCCCCCCGGGAATCTACTTCCGCGTGCCTCCCTCTCTTCACCTCGCCGATACTATCCTCATTCTCGTTCTCCTCCTCTTCTTTCTCGGGCTCCTCCCCCCCCTCCTGTCGCGCAAGATGTTCCCACGGGGACTCCCGGGAACATCAGTCCCATCCCCTTGCTCAAGCGCCTGATCCCTCTTTGGAGGACCTTCCCCCTCCTCCTCCTCCTTCCTCTGATCCTCCTCCTCTGGCTGCTCTTCCTCCTATTCCTGTTCCTCTCCCTCTTCTTCCTCCGCCTCCTCCTGCTTCCCCTCGACTTCCCCCTCTCCCCCCCTTACTTCTGCCGCGTGTCCCTCCTCGTCACTCCGTGGGTCGCGGGGCCGAAGAGTCTCGGAAGCCGATGGGTCGCGGGGCCGCGATTGAGGATCTTCGACCCTAGAGGTCAGGAGCGCCCAGGGGCCGAAGGATTCTGAGGACTCCTGGGGCCGATTTCAAGGGTCGCGGGGTCTGCGGTTCCCAGGGGTATCCGGACCGCGGGGGGCGCCCGGATCGGGGGGCGCCCGCGCCGGGGAGGG